TTCCAGTTGATGATCTGCAGTTTATATGCTGGTTATCGATCAGGGTATGTGTGTTTCATATAAACACATACTGGAATGAAACAGTTACAGTACGTTTTTCAGACAACTATGCCTAGTTGAGCCTTCTAGTTCTTGATGCAGCGTGTAGAAAAGAGTACAAAAATGTACATAAGGCTGGACATGTGTCAAGGGGACACCTCTTTTCTATAGATCTCATTAGAAAGTTTGCAAAAGATGAATTGCTGAGACTGAGACAAATGTAGATCAGAAATCTTGGAACAGATATTAACAGAAATATATTCCTTAAAATTGTGACTGGAATAGAGACATAAGATTCTGTCTGTAGGGAAACAATCTGTGGCAGCTCAGTGGCATGATGGTAAGCACAGGTTCTCTGCGGCTCTGGGGCCAATTCTGGACTCAATTCGTTTTAAGATGTTTGTGTTAGTCTATGTGAGTCTACATGATCTCATTTTTTTACACGTGGGTTCACCACAGAGGCTCCAACCTCCCAAAGACAAGCTGGTAAGGGTTCGTTTTTTTGCCAAATTGCTCTTCATTTTGCAAATAATCACAAAACCTGATTGTATTCTTATGTCATGAATTGCTTATGCACAAGGTTTGCTCCCTCCATCTTGAGCATGTTAAAAAAAGAAGTTATACTGCAGTGGAATCAGGGCTTTTTACTGTTACTCAAATTCAATTTTCACTACTGAAAACTGAAAACTGACCAGTGGTAGGGAGCGTTCCAGCGAAACTGTCAAAGAAATGTTGTTTATTCTATTATATAAACCATTAATCAAAAGTTATACTCGTGAATGGGTTAATTTGTGATATAATAAAGGAATTCTTAGTGCCTATTATAGTGGTGTTAAGGAAACAACGACCACAACTTGTTCAATTAACTGATTTTTGTGTTAATCTACATTGTCTAAGCAGTGATTCAGTGAATGTCTCAGTGACTGAAAGTCCCACTAAAAACATTCACTTTTCAAGCTCTTTATGCAGGGCTGGATGCATTCCAGCGATGTTGACAGTGTTTACAAAATGATAAACATAAAGCAGGATCAAGATTAGGATGTACTAGAAATTGTACTATTATAGAAATAAAGATTGTGATGCTTTATTAAAAAAAAACACAGTACAGGATGATGGCAATCTTTGTAACACACATGATTTAAAACAAAATTGAAGTTATGTTGCGGTCGCAAACTTTTTTAACCAACTCCATCAACATAATTTCACATCATCTTTCAGAGTCAAAGGTCTAAGTTTGCTGTGCAAATTGATAACCTTAATTTCTGAATTTCAACCCCTGTCACTGATGATACACCAAACGGTGAGTCACAGAGCAGCATAACTTCCTTTTCTGAGCTTGCTAAAAATGGAGGGTGCAAACTTTGTGCATAAGCACTTAAATCCACTCCTAAGCAGCATTCATACGTTGGAGTGGTACTGCCATCTGTGAATTCCCTCAACGTAAATGCTCTCAGTTATCAATGTACCACAAAATGCGTAACTGATGTTTGAGCAGATTCACAACTTACATCCATCATGACTGTTTAATATGAAGTAATCACTTACAGTTATAAGTGGTCTAAAATTAAAATGAAATAAATTGCTTAATATATTGTACAGTAGGCAATGTTACATTATTTGTTAACTACACACAGAATAGAATAGAATCACTACAAACTGATTAGTCTTTGAGGACTAATTTTCTACTATTAATTTTATAAAGTAGTTCCTTTCATAAGAAATTTTTATTTTTTAAAAGTAAATTTCCCCAATATAATAAAACTTAATGCAAATGTAAACACTCAGATTCAGATACTATAGTCTAATACCAACCAACTAATACTGTAGTTGGACATCTAAAAATCAAGTCTGGACCAAGATTTTGTTTGAAAAGACTAAAGGGCTGTAATGCAACTAAAAATGAACTGATCATTGTATGATCTGAACAAGTTAAAAATAAGAAGAGTTTCATGGGAATGCAGGAAACAAATATAATAATCCACAGTCATTGTGCATCATACAATATACACTGCTTCACTGTTATGATTTACACCTTTCAAATCAGTCTGTTGGTCCTTTGTCAGCTCAGGTTTTTATACACAAAGGCACAGGATGTGGCTCCTTTAATCCACGCTTCAGTTATTACTCCTTGCAACATTTCTGCAATTGTCTTGCCTAGAACTGTTTTTCAATTCTCATATGATGCAATGAAAAAATGAAACAGAAAAAAATGACAGTTTTTGATTAAAATTACAATTCAAATTTTTCTCAAAATGCCTGTGAAATTGGAATTGGCTCTGGCTTATCGACAGTGCCCCCATTCACAAAGTATGGGGATGAAAAATATTTTGTTGAAATTTTTTGAAAGAAGTTAGTGTAGCTTACCACTAAAAGATAACAGCAAATCGTCTTTTTGTAATCTCAGGGAAATCTTGATATGAATCCCTTTAATCTTGGGTGCATTTGAACCCAAACCAAAACTATGCTAACCAAAACTACACCAAAACTCAACCTTCATTCTATTAAATCCCATGTTCGTTCCTCCCAATGTTTACTGCTTGTATAATGATGTTTCTTTGCATTTATACACTAAAGTGTTTTACATATAAGACAAAAGAGCAGAACTTACTGGGGTGTCATTCAGGAGTCATGTGCCAGCAGTCTTACTACATGACAGTTCAAGAAAAGTTGTGAGAAACTTCCTCACCAAAAAGAAAAAGGATTAGAACTTTAGGAAGGCCGGATTGTGCAAGCCAAGAACGGAATTTCACCATAACATCAGAGCTAAAACCCCCTTATTTTATTTTAAAAATGCACTGAGATCATTCATGACCAATTAATCAGGACCATAGTTTAATTTTTTAGGCAGAAGACAGCACATCCTATGGTATACCTGTGTCCTCAGGTTTGGAGGGTCTGGTCCAGAGAGAAGAATGGCGCCTACTGGTTCACCAACACTGCTGCCAATATCTTTTGTTCTACATCTGTTTGGACCTTATAAAATCCACACCAAATCTGAGCAATAGTTTTACTCCCTACCACATATTCAATGGCTTTACTTCTCTGTGCAGTATAGTTCTCAACAATGAAAGTGTCACATTATCCCCGTGGATGCTGCACATTGGTGGTGGTGGAGAGTTCCCATTACCTGTAAAGTGCTTTGAATGGAGTGTCCAGAAATCACCATGTACAGTAAGTGTAAGAAATTCTTCATTATTATTATTATTGTAATGACTGCTGGGTTTCAGTATGGAATGAAGCAGGCATACAGCTTTGACGTGGGTTGGCAGAACATTTATTAATGCTGCTGAAGAGGGTTACACACACAGGGAATGCAGCACAACACCTACACTATACACGAAAGGGAAAGAGCGTCTCACAGCTCCCAAACAACTATATATGGTAGTCCCGCCCCTCAGGCACTGTTCCCAGCCGCCTTGCGTGCGCATGGCTATAGGCGGCGGTGCAGCCACTACAGCGTCCCACGTGGGTGCTACACTGCCCCCACCTGAGGAATCAGGCATCCCTGACTCCAAACTGTCCCTCCAGGCTGCACATGCAAGGCAGGCTGCTCCCGGGGCTCTGCTGCTCCTCTTGCCCGGGGCTCTCGCTGAAGCTCTCTCCGTGCACTGGGCCTCTCTCTGCATGCCAAGCCTCTCACCAAGCCGCTTCTACTGTGTCTAGCTGGGCGTCTCCGCGCACCAGGCCTCTCTCCGCGCGCCGGGCCTCTCTCTGTGGGCTCCCGCTGCCTCTCGCTGGAGCTCTCCGCGCCACTCTCATTCTCATTCATTGCGCCGCTCCATTCTGTCCCGCTCCAAACACCAATGTAATGACCATGGGGTTTTGGTATGGAATGACGCAGGCATACAGCTCTGATGTGTGTTGGCAGCACATTTAGTACACACAGGGACACAGGGAATACAGTACAATACCTACACTATACACAGACACGAAAGGGAGACGTCTCACAGCCCCCGTCCAACTATATACAGTCCGGTAGTCCCGCCCCTCCGGCGTCGTTCCCAGTATGCATTGCATGCACATGGCTACAGGGGGCGGTGCAGCCGCTACAGCATCACACGTCATTATTATTATCACAAAGGACTTTGTAAGACATGTTAAAATGAATGAAAGTAGAAAAGTCCCACTGGTAGCTGGTGTGTGGTGAGTGTACTGGCATACTTTGGCTGCCACCACATCATCCAGGTGGGGCTACACAGGTGGCATTAGAGGGGAGTCCCCATTATCTGTGTAGTGCACTTTGAGTAGAGTGTACAGAACAGCACTTTGCTGTGTAAGTGTGAGAATTATTTAAAAAAAAATAGAATGAAAGGCTTGTATAGTACGTGATAGAAAATAAGAAGATTAAACAAAAAGTAATCTTAATTTAAAAACACATTGTTACAGTATAACTGCTGGTAAAAACAGCTCCAATAATTTACCATCAAGGTGGCTGTGACCAGCTCACTACATCTACTGTGGCATAGTCTGAAACTTTGTGTTGCTTTAAAATTATTCATTTAAAAGTTTAAGTTTAAACAAGGAGGAATTAAGCTGTCTTTAAAAAATGACTAGACAAAAAAGTGCTGGGTGTAAAAAAAAATCCAAATCTGCTAAACTGTTCCACTGTTTGGAAGTAACAAAAATAATAATTTATGTTAAGGCCTATTAGGAAAGCCTGAATCCCATTAATTGCACCAAATAGACACACTGAAAACCATTATTCTGGCAAAATATCAGAAATCCTTTCAAAAATGATGATACTGAATCTTCAAAGTCACAATCTGGAGTTTGTATGATTTGAAATTAAGAGTGTTGCACAATTGTTTTTCCTGAATTATTTGGTACAAGAAAACAATCAACTTCTGTCTATGGCTGTTTTCAAAGTTGAGTGGAAGAACTAAATGTGGCGCAGTAGAAATTCACTTATAACCTGACTTCCTGCAGTGAATGGACCAAGAGCATGTTAAAAATGTAGGTACGACTTTCTATCTGACATCATTCACAGTAGCATGACAAGAAGCGAGTGGTTAGGGTTTGGGTAACACACAGAGGAAACTGCACTCGGACTGATAAGCAGGCAAGAAAAACGTATGTAAAACGTTGCTCAATTATACCCATTTCAAGTAAAAAAATAAAAAAACTGTTTTTAAAAAATTATTCTTATGCTGATTCTCAATAGGACGCATGGTGTTTCGGAAGGACTTTGCTGAACTCTGGAAATGACAGGTCTTTTTGGACTGAAGCTGACACTATGTGTCGGTTTGCTGGTCTTGGGCATCGTTTGTGAAGGTATGTAGCGGATCATATTTTTTGGTAGTCCCTGGTTGTGACAGATTAAAATGTTTTTTTTGATTGGTTTATTTAAACTGCTCTGCTTAATTAACTTTCCTCATATATTAGAAAAAGGGTTATACTTTTCAATTAAGTAACAGTTTTGTGCTTCCATTAGTATGGCAGTTTCATGTTGACTACATATAACTAGTTAATATTTAAGTGAAGAAAAGAGAACCTTTTTTAACATAATTCACCAAATAGGTATTGTTTCGCTACAGTTTTTGGGTTACATTAGCTTTTCATTATTTATGTATTTTTATTGAGGTTGGTTATTTTTTGTTATTTATTCAGATTTTAAACTAAAGGCCTTCTTATGCCCACAAAACCTATCTTTTGAAATTTCCCCAAAATTTTTATTGTCATTAAAAAGATCTCAGTTAAATTAAGTTTATAGTATCTTGTAGTATTCATATTTTTGTTCCTGTAATTTTTCAGTTCTCATTGATGGTTTCATGACATCCCTCTTAAATGTGCTGAAAATATTTTATATAGTAGTGAACAGACAAAGAAAAAGATGACTTCATAAAAACAGTTAATGAATTCAATTAATCATTTGATTGCTTCCAAATCTTTTTTGCAGTGGTTAGTTTGAATTTTTATATCTCTAATAAAATATTGACAAAAATATAAACAATGCTCCTCAAACTGGAAAAAGTTGTTTTGTAGAGAAAAGAGATTTTGGCAGTGCTAAATTTACAAAATAATTTACTGTTAAAGAGATTAAGTTGAACACAGAATAAGTAGAAAGAAAATAAATCATAAGGTGACCATTTAAAAAAAACAAGCAGTAAAATGTTCATGTAAACTTTTTAAAAAAGTACACAAACTCTGTTGAAAGTACTGGACTGAATTATTTGATATAAAAATCTGCATTATTTCATCGCTCACTAATCATACATTTGCCACTCCCTTCATATTTTTTTGCAGTTCCTCTTTTAACATTGAGCATTACTTTAAAGTTAATACACTATGAGTCTTAGGAAAAAAACAAAATAAAATAGAAATACATATTATAACAAAGTAAACCAATGTAGTAAGTTTAATGGTAACATTCATACTGCCAAAATTTGTAACGTATTTGTTCCTGTTGCCAGAATACAATTTTTTAAATTAGTTTCCAGAAACAAAATCACTGTGAGACAAATATCAAAGGTGTTTTAATTCTGAAATGTATTAAATAGAAATGTACTGCATCTTCTGGATACTGTATGTTATTGAATGCAATGAATGCCAAAATTAATGATAACATTTTTCTACTGGTTTTGAAACTTAGGGTGTGTCCTTCTAGTAAACTTTTACTCAAAGGGTAATTAGTCTTCAGCATCCAAACCATTAACTACTTGTAAGACGTACTGTATCAGAGGTTATCTGCTTCAAATGTTTAGAACAAACCACTATGGAACACAAAATGCATTGTTTTTACTATATATTTAGTACTTTAAATTAATTTTGGGTGTTACTTTATGGTTTTAACATGTTGATTAAAACTAAAATAAAGTAATTTAGCGATAATTAAAAACAAATATAATAGCAGTGTAAGAAATGGTGTAGTATGTGTAATTATATATTAGTGTGTCTGATTCTTCTCTTGGTGCTCATTTTCAGATGTGTGTTCCAATTTTCTCATTCTGCCTCCTCTATTTAAAGATACATATATATACATTTCGTTTAATTTTATCGGAAGTCCAGATTTATACCACTGTAACCTTTAGTTTGTATTTTTTATGTTGAAGGTTAGTACATTTTGTTTCACTAATGGATCTCAAAAAGGTTTTTAATATTACAACCTATAAATGAGAACATACTGACTTCATGGAGGTCAATGTATTATTATTATTGCCATGCAAGTTTCAATAATTAAGACTGAAAGCATAGGTGAGACCTAAGTGAGTAATAGTCATCTGTTTCATTTATTTTCTTGAAAATCCTGAACTATCGCCCATTTGCAAATGACAAATTAAAAATATTTTGTCTTGTTTATACTCAGTGGTAAGCCGCCATCGAGAACTGAGTGTGTAAATTGCGAGTACTGGGGGTTGAAGTGCTTTGCACTTGCAAGTATCCAATATGTATGACCATATCTGTAAAAGTGATATAATTTTTTTCTTTAGAGCTTAATCTCCTTTGAGTTTGCTGTTTCATAGTGCGGTTTAAAAATTCATCATTAAATGTGTGAATGATATTATATTGGCCTACAATAGTAATAGGAACTGTTATTTTTCATATTATATGGTGAAAAGATTCTCATGACAAGGCCTTTAACAACAGAATACTCTTAGGTCCTGTAACTAACTAGTAAGAAAATGATTCATGTTTAGACACAAACAGATTGACATTAATAATTGATTTGTAGAATAATGGCTGAACTTCAATTTACTAATCAGTTAATGTGTAACTTTTATCTTTTTTATCTTTGTTATTTTGAATATTTGTTATATTGAATATGTGTTATTCTTTGGGCTTTTACTTTGGGATTTTATTGTTTACAGAATTATAGTATTAATCTGAAAGTGATCTCATGCAAAGATAAATTAAAAACACCAAAAATACAAATTAGTCAATGCGCAAGATACAGCTTCTAAAACCTAGCAGACTAGCAAGAAAGGTGTTGGTGCAGGTACTATTTCTAAAAATACAGCAGCAACGATACATATCCTTACACATAAATGATATAGCTTACTGTACTTGCATTCAGATGACTACTTTAGTAAAATCACACAATTCTCCTTAAATGTAATAATTCTGAAAGGCAAAATATTCTAATTTGTGTGGCATACCCAGATTGCAACAACATCGATGCAAAAATCCTTGCTATCATACTAGCTCCACAAAACAGCATGCAGTTTACAATGATATACTTAATTTCAATTGGTGCCAGCAAAGAAAAACGACTAAAACTAAGCCAGACATTGGTGAAGTTGTTCTCGGTTAGCTGTTTTTGTAGAGCTTTTACAGTGTAGGCAAGCAGTACCCTGGTAGACCACTTCCTTATTCCATTTTGAGTCTGACTGATTTTTGTTCCAGTCTGTAACAGTCCGTAAAATGGTAAACCCGCTAAGATGAAGAAAAAGGAAGCACAGAAATGAAGAAGTTCAAACTAAAAGTGTTTTGGGGTTTTTTTTTTGGAAAAGGCTAAATACTTAAAAGTTGCTGCTGAAATAACAGTCAACTATTTTTATGTTAGACTGTTTTATGTGAAAGCTTCACTTTGAACGTAAAATAAAAAGTTTTGCCTTGAGAGAAAACCATCTCAAAGTTGTAAGATAACTGGAATTCATGTGTTTTAATCTGCATGTTGCATCATAAAACTACTTTGTTTCTATACCAATACAATATATTTATCTTTTATCTAACATTTAACAAAAGCTTATGAGTGTTTTTCTAAAGTTGTATGTGGTGTATTGTGTTCTTCTAAGTAAAGTAAAAATGCTAAGCTTTTGCAATTATCTATTTTTACGTATAGGCTACTTTGTTACAGTGGTGACTATGATGGTTTAAATGGTATGTAGCTTTGAAGCAGGTGTAGGGGATGTACTATTTTAAATATAGATATGGTAATTGAACCAGTACCATGTATCATGTGACAGGAAGTGTAATGCAGTGAGCAAAAAGAAAGGTACTGTTAAACAAACTGTGCTGTCACTTTTTAACTGCACAATTGTTAACAATGTTGTTGCCAATGTTATGCTATGAGAGCCCATTTTATTTTATTGTTTATTTTTGACCAAACAAATACTAGAAGAAGGTACTTTCACCCTACCTTGAATTAGTAGAGAGTGCCAGGGGCCTCCCCATTTCACACTCAAGACTCTAGCAACTTGTTATTTCTCGCAAGGGAAAAGACATGAGGCGTGAAAACATATGACTCAAAAGGTACATGTTTTTTATGACAAAGGTAAACCATGTTTTTCCATCCATTAAAATTAGTGTTTTTAATTTTAAGCAGGAAATATGGTTAGTACTTCCACAGTAAGGTACTGTAAAAATCACTGATAAAACTTGTGTTGACCATCCAGTAACAAACTTGCACAAAACAAATAAGCTGTGACTGGGAAAAGGCTTATTTTAACTCACGATGATCCAGTGAAACTGTTTTGCTGTTAAGACACAGTAATTTTTTTTATTCAGACATAAACATTTGCAGTGGTCACCTCTAGCAATGTTATTCTCAAATGTATTATTTGTACTAAATAGTGTCTGCTGGAGCCGTGGTAGCTCAGATGGCAACGGTGTCTAGCTTCTGACTGGAAGGTCCTGGGTTCAATCCCAGGTGGGGGCAAGTGATGTAGCTTGCCCAGGTCCACAGCCTGCTTTCCAAATGAGTACTGAGGGTTAATCCTTCTGGAGGTAATAGGCTGGCAGGAGTGTGATGCTGACCACATCACCTCCAGTGTCAGATGGTTGAGAAAAATGGTGACCCTTGCCCCCCATTACCCATGGGCCTTTATGGTGTGAAAAGGGGACCTAATGTACCTCCTTAAATAGTGTTTGCTAAACTATCCTTATTTAAATATAATATTTTATTTAAATTATGTACACAATATTTAGGTGCTAAAATGTCCATTGCTTCCTAAGGGGATTTAAATGCCCAAGTATTTTGAGACTCAATATTTCTTCTAAATTTACTAATTTAAGAGTATGAATATTTTTTACCAATGTTTCCATAGATTTGTATATTATTGTACCATTGTGAGACACATAAGTTTGATAACAATTAAGCAATGAATGGGTGAATGACGGAGACTGTATGTGTTTAGTTAATTAATCACTTTAGTTTAGCTCATTTAGTCAGTACTGTATATCACTTTTTGCAATCAGATCCACATATTAATGAAATCACTCCCAAATTATGTTATTATCTCTTTAATTCCTCCCAAACTGCACCCAAAGAAATCCCAGTCAGGAACTCCTTTGCAGTGATGTTTAATTTTACAAATAATTTTTTTAATTAAATT